TACATCTATTTTAAATGACTCTTTTCTCTAATCAGGCCTAAAAATTCACTTCAAACACTCAGGTTCATCGCCTCACGCTTCGTGAGCCTCTCACATGAACTTGGTGGGAAAGAACTGGTCAGTATGCTAATGCGACAGAAATTTAGTCAAACCACATGTTGTCAAACGACGTTTTAACGATAGCCACCATCGGGGATTAGACGTGTTCCGATCACGGCGATAATTTTGCATCGGTTCATTAGGGTTTCGCCGTCGAACTCGTGTTGAAACGTGTTGAGGTGCTTACGAGGGTGCACCATAGTTTAATGCGCATAATAGGAGACCTATTGTTCTATGGACTTTACCCGATGTGATGGCGTAGACCGATGGATCTATAACCTTCACGTGCGTAGTCTGACGAACCTGAATAGTGTTCCATCAAAACCCACACTACGCTATATCTGTTACCGTGTCAATGGAAGCATGAGGCAGTCTCTGTGAAGCACATTCAGTTTGCTTGCTGGGTGCTGAAATTTACGTCAAAACAACGTGGATATGGTGACAAATTACTCGATTACCACGTTCACAATAAGTTATGAGCCTAATGGGCAAAATATTCTTACCCACCTGGGACCAAACGGAGGGTCGGTAATATTCAAGCTATTTAACTGTATGCGGCACGATGCGGATCCCACAATTCTAAGAGTGCTACACCTTCTAAATCTGTGATGGCAATTGCATCGTCGGGTAGAACTTGATTGTTGGCCTCAACATTTGGAAGCGTGCTCACTAAACTAAGGGTCCGTGGTTCGATCTCAACCTGAGTTTGTCGACAGCTATCTAGGCATGGGCCAACTGACAGTATCCACTACAACATGACTTGGGGGATTTGGCCATGATGTTTGTGCATCTAACGAAATATTCAAGAAATCATCTGCACACATACCTCTTGTATGCCACATTCGTAGATCATTTGAAACAAACTCAGTTCCTATTCAGCGATGCCATATGCACCTCAATGGTCGGAATCTCGTCGACCCTCCATTTGGTCGGAGATTTTGTCAAGAAAGTTCACAATTTATTGCAAACGTTGTGATCGGGTGACCTGGCAGCATATCCGCGTTTTTTAAATTAATTTTATCACTTGCGAAGCGTTTGTGACGCTGAGATAATCTGACCGATCACTTGAGCCGGAATGGAGTGGAAAGCCAGTCAAAGCCCGATCGCTAAGGGTTACAAAGTGCGTTCATTTATCGCATAAAATCCCATAGTATTGATGACAGATTTCAAGTGTCCACTATGTGCTTTCGAAGTGCGGATGCACGATCTGAATGTGTGATTACTTCAGCTTTGACGTGTATATTTTATATAGATCATGGCAGAAATCAATGTCCAGAAAATTTGCCCCCAAGAATTTCATCTTCGCAATGCGACCTAATTCAGCAATTCAATATTCAGTGACGCTCCTCACTAACTGCTGACAGTCATAAACGCCCGCGCCTTCGGAAGCATGGGTAAACGCAAGAATGTCGCTAACAGTTTATCAGCTTTAAAATTGTCAAAGTAGATATCAAAATCCATTTGCGTGTGTCTGTATTCACTTTTTAAACGACGAAGTACCACAAACTTTCGTGAATACCGCGCTTACGGTTTGTCATCATTAGAATGGTTCATTACGACAGCCAGTCCCTCCGGGATTCATCTCGAAAACTTCGTAAATATGTGAACATGCATTCATGAAGCAAACGCGCACGGCCATTCTGGCAGTCAGTGTCTGTTGGAGGAATGCTGCACCTCAACTACGCCCATACATTGCTCCTCCGGTTTTCATGACAGCGATGAAGGCTTTTGCACGATTATCAAGCGTTGGACATAACTTCTCCAAGGAAGAATGATTGCGATGGTGTTTTATGGAGATTGGGCTGGGATTCATCGCTTCTCACCGTAGGATCAACGAGGCTGATTTTGTGACGGTTTAGCTTGAAGTTAAACATCAATAAGAATGCTGCACCGGAATCGTTACTTCGCCGTCAGTCTCGACGGGACACTTCTGGTTATTCAGCTGATCGCATCATAAATCTTTGTGAATTGAGGTTCAAAGAGATTCAGACGATTTCACCGCGGGTGACCTTCGAATACTTGTCCAAACCTGCCTGTCCTCGGAATAGTGCATTTAAATCCTGTAGTCAGATTTATATAGAACAGCTATTTTTTGACTGTGGTTCACAATAAAGCTTACCACAAATTTCGTGCACATTGATATTTCCATCCTATCTGGCGGCGAAAGGTAGCAAATGCGCGTCCGAATTGATGAAGTCATAATGGTGCTTTATGCATTCACAGGCTACCGATAGTGGAGTAGTTGGAGTGAGCTAAGGAATAGAATCTTTGTCACAAAACCTCTGCTCTACCTCTCAATACGTGCTTTGTTTATATTATAATCTAGTATATTCATCGGTTGCCATCCTCCCGATCTATAAGCTCTTTGTTTCTGTCATGTGTTCCCCAAAGTTATTGAACCACAACTTTGGTACTATCAGTGACGCATTACCTTGACGCGTAGGCCGCTGTCTCTCCTACACCATTGGTTGCATTTCGGGATTTCTTCTCTGCAATTGTTGAGCCAGTCCATGGGACGAATAACTGTCGCCGCCTGATAAACTACACCATTATTCTCAATCGTTCTCCAAGTAACTGAAACCTGGAATCATCACGTTTGCCTGTCCTCGGAATAGTGCATTTAAATCCTGTAGTCAGATTTATATAGAACAGCTATTTTTTGACTGTGGTTCACAATAAAGCTTACCACAAATTTCGTGCACATTGATATTTCCATCCTATCTGGCGGCGAAAGGTAGCAAATGCGCGTCCGAATTGATGAAGTCATAATGGTGCTTTATGCATTCACAGGCTACCGATAGTGGAGTAGTTGGAGTGAGCTAAGGAATAGAATCTTTGTCACAAAACCTCTGCTCTACCTCTCAATACGTGCTTTGTTTATATTATAATCAAGTATATTCATCGGTTGCCATCCTCCCGATCTATAAGCTCTTTGTTTCTGTCATGTGTTCCCCAAAGTTATTGAACCACTATCAGTGACGCATTACCTTGACGCGTAGGTCGTTGTCTCTCCTACACCATTGGTTGCATTTCGGGATTTCTTCTCTGCAATTGTTGAGCCAGTTCATGAGACGAATAACTGTCGCCGCCTGATGAACTACACCATTATTCCTCAATCGTTTCCAAGTAACTGAAACCTGGAATCATCACGTTAGAATTGGAATTAAATGGGTGTAACTAGTTCCTGCGTCCCACAAAATGCCAGAGTTTATTCTGAACTAATCGGGCTGGTTGAGCAACTGATCTCAAAAGGGAGAGCAAAGCCCAGCTTCTCAATGTATGCATGCACGTGGTGCATCCCAATGAAATCCATGAGACTTATTGTTGCTTGAATGAACACCAGAAGAAAACATGTCATCGTGAATGGGTTAATGGAAGTGTATCTTTTCGCTCACTAGTAATACTGCGACAACTACTGAAACGTGCATCGCGTTACTATCATCCATAAGGTAAATATGAATGATCAATATCTTTGGACTTGATTAATGATCGTTGGAAACTTCCCATTGTGTCATCCATTGGTTCAGTCTAAAAGTGTGATACCATAAATTAAATGAAACAATGACTGACCCTCCGACGTTTCAACCGGGCAAGAATGGGCGGAAATGCTGAATGAGTCAATAGATTACAGGCCGTAATTTTAGATGACCACATGTCCAAAATCGACATCGGGCCAGATGTTAAATTCCGCATTCATTGCACGGAATACTCAGGACACCAGTCAAATGGTCGACTCAGAAACATCGTGCAACTGCCGAAGCTCGTACCCAACACATCTTGCTGGATACCGGAAACTCGGTGGGCATTCTCAGATGGATTCGCTAAATACAGCATGATCAACCAATCCGTGTGATGTCCGGTGGCGGTCTGAACTACCATCCTGGCTAGCCCTGCACACTATTGTGTTCATATCAGCTAGCGTGAAGGGACGAAATAGTGTTTACCGATGGGCCGCGTCCCAAAACTGCGTCACGTTGTCATCTGAAGGCTGACAAAATGATGTGTGGTAAACTGAATTTGATGATCGGATAAAATTTCCTTGTAAACTCTATCAGTATTCTAAATCCCGATTTGTGGTTCGCCGAATAAGATTATCCGAAATTGCGAAACAAAATTCAGAGGACATAAAATCAGATCTACACTCTTGGAGTCAGACCAAATTGAACACTCCAAGGTTAATCAATACGAGTCTCTTTTCGGATGGCTCGATTAGGGGTTTCAAGTTTCTCGAAGAGTTCGGCGACTTGCTTGTACGTTTCATGCGCTCAAACCGCCCAAGCATTATACTCATAATAGGATGTTTACCGAGAATTCCACTGTGAACAGATCAGTTGCAGAATCCATACCTCAATCCAGGGCGAGATGAGAAATTGGAAATTATTTCGTTTTTCACTAAACGCTCAAACGTTGTTTGGTTTCCCTGAGGGGTGTCACGCTGCACGTTTTCCGGTGTTTGAATTCATGGAATGACTTTAATTAGCTTAAACAGCTCGTTCTACATAAATACTGTCTAGGCGTTTGCGTCGCAAACATTTCCCAGATGATCAAACACGTAACTGCAACAATGCACACGTAATGCCATGGAGAGATGGTGTATAGCCATTCGTGCACCAAGGCACAAAATTACGTGTCAACTATGATGGAGACAGCTTTGAATAATTTGCTCTGGAGTTACTTTCTCAAATTGGGTTTGGGTGAGGCCAGTCCGATCTTGTTTGTATGATTTCGAAAGATTAACGGTGAATAATTAGTTGTCATTTCGAACTGTATAAAAGAACTGAAGCTTGTTGCATTCTGGGCAATCATCAAACATGAACCATTCCCTTATGCTTTTCACTTTCATGGCCATGTTTGCTGCTGGCAGATCAGCTGGGGGAAAAATCCCACTGACGCCGGAGGACATGGCGACAGAAGAAGTTCAAGGACTGATTGTCAGAGGCCAGAATGCATGCAACAGCGGGTTAGATAGCGCCAAATGGTTTGGAGTGTCTGGCGATGTCACTGGAACGAAGGAGGTTGGTCGATGTTTACCTTTTCAGTAACGAGTCTTGTATTTACCAGCCCAATTCTCACACAAGATACGAGCTTGAACTTCCCTTAGTAGAAACGGGTTGCGAAAAAGCTGCCGTAACTGCGTCCGGCAGTAGCTCAGGTTGCCAGCTGTTATCAACTGAGGTAAGCTTTCCTTCCTCTTCCAGCTGCATAAATGTGGACACGTAAACTGTACTTTTTATCGTAACATGATTTCGTGTAATTCCTGATAACAATAATTCCTAGTAGTCATTCATGCCGCATTTTTTACATTCACGTGTTAGATACTGCACCATCTTGGAGCTCCCCAGTAGACAGAATTGCTCAGAAACTAAACTGCAAGCTTTTGGCAGTTCACACAAACATGTCATATGAATCGGGTTTCAAACAACGCACTCCATCTGTGTTGAATGTATACTTTTACACAGCATGGATCGGAGAGACATTGGGCTCTCCTACGGTCATTGATCAGTTCCAATCACAGGGCAGCTAAGGCCAAACGGAGTAAAGACCTCATATTCTAAAATGAACGCCTTTGTATATCAAACATATCCACTCCTCAGTACCACACTTCTCACCCGGGATGCCAATGTTTATTAGTCACATTTATTTTTATTGAAAACCGGAAATTTTCACCCGTGCTACACTTCGAATTGAAGATCGCTTGGTTTCAGGCTTTGCTTTCTTTTTCGTTCTGTGGATCAAATTATGCGCAGAGTGGACTGAAGCATGCAAATTTGTAACATGCTTTCGAGTTTATTCTTCTGTATTTATTTCCGCAGCCCAGGGTTATCTGTCAATATGTGTTGGATCACGATGCCCAGACTGGAGCGGAAATTATCTCGGTTACTTTTCGCCCAGCTTGACGCTGGGAAGGGACCAGATGACCAACGCCAATTCTAGAAGGCAAGCAGATTTTATCAAAAGTAGATTGTTTGTGACAGTGTTGAAGTTTGTGTATATATGGTTACCACTCGAATAACAGGAGCGAAAACATGGATTCCAACATTGTTCATATCGACAATAATTCCGCCATCATTAATCGTATAGAGTTTTCCATTTTTGCTGAGTACTCTACACAACTTCTGTATTGATGCATCATACTGTTCTGACGTACGAATCGCAGCAAATTGTGCTCCGCAATTAGCGATCACAGGTGTGCAAAATTAGATTATTCAATGCAGTTTGGGTACATATTTTAAGCGAACGTCCAAGAATGCCTTTTTCAGTGCCCAATTTTAGAAGTATTACTCTGAACTGTTCAAGGCCACATAAATGTGTTTCGCATCAAGCATCACACGACTGGAAAGGCGTACGTTTATGTACAAATTTACTCAATTAACGATACAGAGTTGCAACAATCTCCCGCATTTTATTTTAGTGCCTTATTTCCCTTCCAGGTCGTCACCCTGTCTTTCTGGACCTCGTCCGGCATAAATAACATTTGATCTTTTCGATTTTCTCTTCCTTTTATTCTGCTTTGCTGTGATTAACGTGGCCACAAACCTCAAAATAAATACCGAGATGCCAGAATTATCCAATTTGTTTTCAAATCTGTAGCTTGCTTGATCTTGGTTTTTGCTTTGGTGGGCTCGCCTCCATGTGTATCAGAGAAATGTCCTCGTGTGTTTCGTTCGATGAAATGTCGGGTTTGATGTCCGGATTTCGTTCATACATGCCTCATCGCACCACAGTTACCAATAACGCGAGCTTCATATCTAATCCCAGTCGTTTGATGAAAACATCGTCTGAATCTAGACTTCCTCTACTCACAAATTGCTCGAGTGTAGTTCGTTACAAAACCGCATGTTTTCTTGCATGTTACGTATTTGTTATCTTTGTACTGGCAGCAACACATGCCTTGTGGTGTCGGCTCTAGGCTAAACTGGACCATACTTGCTTTATAATGTAGTAAGTCCAGAGCAAATCGTCTACGGGATCCTGATATGGCGGCAATTCTTACAGCTAACGGCTTAGCGACGGGTACCCGTGAACGAGTTTTACACGTGATTGCTCCCATCACGACGCATTGGCGTTTTTCTAATAACTGAGAAGCTAGGGTAGATTTGCTCAAATACTTGGGATACGTGGGAATCTTGCGGCGTTCTATTATCGCGTCGGAAGAACGGTGAGATTCTGGTGAATTATTTCAATAATTATCTCAATCCACAATAGTAGAGACCCTCCAACACAGGAGATCCATAGACGTAGATGGTGTAAGGAAAAATAGTATACATATATAATACGGTAGTCGATTCATGCAGAAGCTAAGATCAAGCAAACGGTAGGCTGGTCCGAGTCACTTGATTCGTATCCTAACATACGACTGCTCCCCGCGGCACCCGGCTGCCTAGTGGAGTTTGCATCAATGGTACCCCTTTGGCCCGTTTCTACACAAGACACTACTACTTTTGCTGGCAGTCATACACAGCGTAAAACTATGGTTGACTGATATGAAAGCGAATTAATATTTCGAGTGCGAAAATTCTTGGATACTCTGTTACGTTTGGATTGATATTTCCGAAAAGACAGGTGTCGGGATTCCTCCAAACTTCTTTCGAAAAAAGTGCTGTATGGTTGCCAAAACTTTGTTTGAAGAAACAGTGGTCGACAGAAGACATTTCAAGTACGGTGGGTGCGTTTTTGATGCTACGTTTAGGAATTCACCTTATAGACGTCAACTTATACACATCGCAAGCAAACAAGCGGGATCTCCCGTAAAAATTCCCCAAAGCGTTTTATACTGTTTTCATGTTTGCATTGGCAATCTTTTTTTGATTTACGTGTTTTAAGCATTTCACTCGTCCTTGTATTAGCTTGCATACAAATACAGTTTGAATGCGTGCACTTCCTGGATTGTGCTCAACTAACCACTCAGAATGGAAGCTTGTGTATAATTTGCCTGAAATTTACGACAAAAAATTATTTTTCAAATAATCGAGCGATGAGTTGTTTAAAGAGCGTAATCTGGTATGGTATAACAGTTCTGCCTAGGCCAAAGAGCTATGACGGGGCTGCATCATTTTGGAACAAAACAAAAATACATTGAACCACACTCAATAGTGTGTTCCTAGAAAACACCGGCAGGTTTATATCGGTGATCGATTAGAGCGCTTATGAGGATTCACAGGGGCAGATTGTGGGACAAATTTATCCGAGATGTGCACCATAGTTTAATGCGCATAATAGGAGACCTATGATTGTATGGTGTTTACCCGATATGATGGCGTAGACCGATGGATCTCTAACCCTCACGTGCGTAGTCTGATGAACCTGAATAGTGTTCCATCAAAACCCACACTGCGCTACATCTGTTACCGTGCGAATGGAAACATGAGGCAGTCTCTGTGAAGCACATTCAGTTTGCTTGCTGGGTGCTGAAATTTACGTCAAAACAACGTGGATATGGTGACAAATTACCCGATTACCACATTCACAATAAATTGTGAGTCTTATGGAAAAAATAATCTTACTCCCCTGGGACCAAACGGAGGGTCGGTAATATTCAAGCTATTTAGCTGTATGCGGCACGACGCGGATCCCACAATTCTAAGAGTGCTACACCTTCTAAATCTGTGATGGCAACTGCATCGTAGGGTAACTCTTGCTTGTTGGCCTCAACGTTCTCAGAATACCAAGTGTAAATCATATCATTATTTTGGAGTGCTCTGTTCGGAAACAGTCATACTCTGAGACTGTGTGAAGTGGTAGAACTCAAGGGAAGTGAACGTCTTGCGGTTGTCGAGACACTCACTGAAATGGAAGATAATCACTTGTGAATGGAAGTAATTTTAATGAAGACACGGAAACTGCATGTGCCGCAAGAGTGCACAAGTGGAGTGTGGAAATAATTCTTCATAATTCAAGGTCAACCTTTTGTCAAGCACGATACACTCTTGTTTACCAAGGATTTATTCTGTCGAGGACAAGACCCAAGATCTCATGAGTGAACCAATTTTGGAAAGTGTAATTCTGGCAGCACTACATGAAGTTGTATTCCTCCTTTAGTCATTTCTAACCCAGCGAAAAACATAGTCTTTTTAGATGGAGTCCTTCTTAATCCCAGTGCAAAATGAACTCCTTTAGTGCTTTCTGCCAAGCTGAGTTGTATACAGGGCTCCCAATGTAAGCGCCGGTCGGCTTTCCTGAACTCGTTCAAGTGATGTTTTGTCAGTCGCTTGCTGAAGGTGAAAG